AATGCTCAGTTTCAGCACAGAGTACATTCTGTATTTTACTCGAGTACTTTTTTTCATCGTATCCTACTTTACGCTTTCACGCTCCTGTGACAGCTTCAGTTTTTCAGTTCTTATTAGTTTGTTGCTTTGTTAAATACAAGTCATTTAAGCTCATACCAGTGACTCCAACCTCGCTCATCTTGACAGAAAAACATCAAACATGCATTTTATGTGATAGGATAGACTGTATATTGAAGATGGACCTTTAAAGCTGTATTATCTCTATTGGCCAGACTCTTTTATTTAATAGTTATTTTCCAGCTTTTTAGTTATGAAATCTCAAACCAAGCCCTCACCATAATCTTGATTTCAGGTTAGTAAGATGAAATTTCAGGATTCCCACTTCATAATTCCATGATAATAACCGGAATTTTTAACTTCTGCTAACGTCTTTTTCACTGGCAGAAACTCCCCAACTTAACTAACTTAACACATTAATCGTCATTTTAGACTCATAATCTTGTTACCTTTTAAAATAATCCAGTAGATTTTCAAAATGTACTTTTTTGCCCTTACTGGGCTGAAAGAATGTACACAATATTTTTTGTATCCATGTTTTTCTTTTCATTGATTGTTTCTGTCACAAAAATGTAAAAGATTCAGGTAATTAACCAAACTAACTTGACATTTTGAGATAAGTAGATATTTTGAGATGATAACCTAAAATTGTAACTTGCGGAGCGCAAAACTTTCAGGGGCAGACACGAGCTTCCATACGTTAAAGATCAATTAAATATATTGTGTACATGCAACTATTACCAGCAAATGAAAGTTCAGTCTTCGCTCTGTATGGAAGAATTATTTGTGTATTTATTTTATGTATTTACCTTTTTCAGTGGCTTTGTGTACGCTTTTCATCTTTAAATGCCATCTGCATGTCCTGGGCTGAAGATGAAACATCCTGATAACTGGGCAGCAAATTTTCAACATAAAACATAGATTTCCTGCTAATTAAGCCCTCACTCATCATTCAGAGCTAACATCTCCGTCCTGCATGATTAAGCGCGTTTTAATGGTTGAAAAAGTATCATACTTCATTACAACACTGGGGTTTTAGTTGGTTTAAAATAAATGTTGGAAATGCCCGACACTAACTCTCATTAGGTTTCACTCCACTGCTTTTGCTTCCACCTGATTAAACATTCATCAAAAGATCTCCATGTTTTCTCCTAATTTATTCTCTCTTTTTTTTAGTAATTTCACCATGATAAACACTTCTGGAGCGTGGACCCTGAGCTCATGTTACCTTGATGGAGAGAAACTCAGAGAAGTCGGTCGTCCTTTTCCTGCAGCAGGACCAGCCCTGGAGACACAAACAAACAAACAAACAAACACGTGATTAGCGTTGAGTTTTATTCTCCCACTCGAGTCAGACTCTAAGAGGAGAGTTTACCTTCAGTGCATCGTGGAAGACAGGGCCTCCCGGGTGGAAAAGGCAGGAATCTTTTAGAGTGGAGATAAAGACAACATGAGTCTGCATATAGACACTCACTGAGATCCCAGCTGCTCACAGGGTCACTGCAGTGTGGAGGTGCCGTGTGTCCCTTATAAGGAAGAAAGATGGCCGTCTCTCTTAGCCACGCTGTCTCAGACTAGACCGTCTCTCTCACACGGACACAACTTCTACTTAATGTCACGCAAACCAGCGCGTGATCAGTCAATCTGTCACGATCACAGGTTCACACACTGTTCATGTTTAGTGCACACAATCTGAATTTGAATCGAGTCCCAAAACACTACATTAAAGTAAAACTATTCATGAGTGCTCCCTTTCAAAATAAAAGTGCAGAGCTCCTTTTAAAGGTGGCTGAAAATTTAGACGTCATCATCATCATGAAGGAAATTGTGTTTCTTCAGACAACCTACAAGTGTCATCTCACACCCAGTTTTCTTCCACTTCAGCTCCAGGTCTTTGATAACAGGATGACTCAGAGTCGCTGTAACAGGTATAAAGTAAAGGAGCAGAAACATGCAGGAGGATCTTACCATCCTTGTTCTTGTCGGGGTCAAACGTCTGCCCACAGCCTTTGTTGTAGCACAGCAGAGCCATGTTGGCCTCGTGGACTGTGACGTCTTCTTCGTCACTGTACAGTCTGCACTCGTTCGCTTGCGTTTAGATATGTTCCTTCACACCGGCCGTGTCTCCAGGTCTTAATGCCTCGGTCGGGTCTCTAGAAGTTTCTCCAGCCAGGCAGAAAGAAGAGATCCAGAAGGAGTCGTCGCCTTCTGGAGAAGTGAGAGATAGAGAGGGGGGTCTCTGTCTCTCTCTGGTTCAGGCCTGGCTGAATGAAAGATAAAAATAGCAGCTCACCTCCCTCCTACCCCCACGCCCCTCTCTCAATTTACAGCTGTCAAAACTTATCTGGGGGTGGGGGCTGACATTCCTCCCGGTGAGTGTCGGCTGTCACAAACAGGCCTGCCGCGGCCCGGCAGCACCCACAATAGGACTGACAACTCCTGGATTTCCTGTCACTCTGTGCGCTGGATCCACAGCAGAGACGGCAAACCAGTGCTCGAGACGCTGAGAGACATTTTAATTCCACCCTGTGCTGAAACTTCCTCAACGCTTTTAAGGTGATTGTGTTCCACATGTGACACTCAGTGACCGTTAATAACTGGTCTTCAAGGAAGATTGTCCACAACACTTTGGAGCCCGCCTAGTTCAGGGACCTCTAAACTCATGTGACACGAAGCAATAGGAAGGGAATACTTAATCCCAGTGTGTCCCAGCACCATGCCACTTCTTTTGTGTATGTGTACCTCCACAAGACTACAAGACCACAAAGCACAGCGATTTAGGCGAACTTATAGTGGTCTTTCATTCGTACAACATTTTGAAATTGGGTTGCTTTCTTTTTTTTTTTTTTTAAATATGCTAAAGCTATCAAGAGATGCCATCATGAATGGAAGTGCAGAGGATTTACAACAAAGTGCAAACCACTGGTTACACTCAGGAACAGGAAGTCCAGACAGATGAAACAAAGAAACTTGTTTCCAGTGCGCCACATCACCTGTCAAACATGGTGGAGGTGTTGTTATGGCATTGGCACATATGCGAGCCAGTAAAAGCAGGTCTTGAGTACTTAGTGACGATGTGACTGCTGACAGAAGCACCAGGGGTGAAGTCTCTGCACACCTCACTCAAGCAACTCATGAGTTTCTCAAGATAAAGAAAGAAAACTACTCCAAATCAGTCACCTGCTCTCAAACCAACAGAGCAGCTTTTTAGTTACTAACCATAGGCAGAGAGACCCACAACCAACCAGCAGTTAAAGGTCTGTTAGATCATCTCAGTTGAAGAAATGCAGCATCTGTTGATGTTCCCGAGTTCGGGCTGTGATTGATCGCAAAAGATTTTCATGCAACTATTAAAAACAATCCTTGTGTTTAAAATGAGTTTGTTTGTACAATGACTTGAATTAAAGTCTGCACTTCAATCACATCCCGACTACAACAAACTGTCCTGATACTTGTGGACCTAACTGCATCCGTGTGGCAGCACAGCCTGCTCGCCGACTCACATCTCCCTGAGAGGACCGTTAATTCAGCTCAGGCTAACACGGTGCTGAAAGGCATTTATTTATATGCCGGCCTTTTGTAGTTTGCTCCTAAAATATCTTTCATCCCGAGCACACTGAGACAAACTGCCAGCGACTCCAGGCGACAATAAATTATTCACTCAAGACAAAACACTGCTGTTTGTCAGGCACAGGACTTTTTAAGTGATTTATTTCCTACAAAGAATCAGGAATAAGAAAACAACAAAAAAAAAACCTGAAATATGACCCAGTGTATCAGCGGCAGCATCAGCGAGCAGCCCTCGATGTGATTGTGGAACAAATGTGTACAAACACTTTCATTATTCAGGGCTCAGCGGGAGTCGGGAGGTGGGAACACGTTTCTAAATCCCTCGCTGTGGGAGCGTTGATATCATGGCAGACAAGGGCGGAGCAAATCAGAGGCGTTTCAAGCCAACGTGTAGCAACAAGAAGAGATTAGAGGTATAGACTGTAATCAGACGTAAACAAAAAAACAATAACTATAGGAACTGGAGAGGAGCAAAGGCTGGAGGTTTCCCACGGTGTGGGGATCTTTTGAGGCTTTACTCAAGTTTGTTTGCATCTTTTCAGTGAACTTTAAGCATAAACGTAGATTTACCAGAATAAAGAAGGTGTTTATTGTCGTAAATATTGTAAATGACATTTATACGGTGTGGTAAATGTTTTCTCAGAGGAGTTGGGTACATAATAAAAGAATGCTGAGGAGGCAATGTGAACTAAAGGGAAGAGTTTAAACGAATGCATTGCAGATACGCAGTGACGCGAGGATGCTGCAGGCTGAAAACAGAAGGTTTAACTGCATTGTGGCTGGTTAGCAGGATTCAGCGGTGTATAACAAAGAAGAGGATAAACATCTTTTAAAGGTGATCATGTGGCTCAAACTAACAGTTCATTTACTGACACTTAATAAACCCACTCTGACGTCCCCCAGCGTTTATAGGCTACTGTTTTTTTTACCCAACTCATACTTGAAGGGAAACACTGGGTTTTCAGCACAGGGTGCTGGTAAAGTTACCCAGACAGCAGGCCATACTGACCACATAAACATATGAAAAGGGCAACAAACATGATTGAGTGACTGTTAGCAGCAGGAATGCAGTTTAATCATGTATAAGTTTAAGCCATAATTCAGTTTGAATGTTACACGTTTTAACCTGTGCATAACTACAGACACTGTGAGCATGTTTATTTCTGCTGTAATTTACTCACTTTTGGAGTAAACCTGACCCGGTGGAGGAACAATAACCACATGTTCACAAAGTTTGTCTGTTCCCCCCCCTTATCTCTTCAAGATGATCCCAAACCGCTGCAGTAATGATGAGGTCCGGGCACTGGGGAGGCCAATCCATGACTGATAGTGTTCCACTTTGTGTTTTTACTGCACTGCCAGTGTCTTTGGGGTCATTGTCATGCTGAAAAATGAAGGCAATCAAATGATTTCCAGATAGTGGAAATTTTTATGGTCGATCAAAATCTGATGGTACTTTTAAGTGTTCTTCACAGCCATCTGCACACCATGCAGCTAACAGCTGTTTGGAAATCACCTTGTTGGTGCAGAAATACTGTTTTATGTGTGTCAGATTGTGCTATCTTTGACATTTTTATAGATTTAACTGAAGAAATTGGGACAAATGATGCATTTTTATGACAGGGTGCTTTTAGCAAATTTGTTATTTGCCAAGTCGTGTCATTTGCAGACAAAACACTGCTTCATCTCTCGAGTTGTGCATGTTTTCTGTGCACACAACTAAAGTGTGCATTCAAATCTAAAGAAATGAGGGCTGGCTCAGGACTTTTACACAGTACAGAAAATGTACATTTTTATCAGTGACGCGTAGCATATTTTGCGCTGCATCTGTGCCAAAAAATTATTTGCAGTTAATTTGGATAATACATTTAATGTGACAGGATCTGATCTTATATCCACATCCCCTGATTTAAAGCCCCAGAGTTACTGTGGTGAGCGCACAGTAACTCTCCTGCATCAGTAACGAATGTTGACGGTTCGAGCCTGCAGCTGGAGGCAGATGTAAGATTTTAATGGGTGCCTTTGATTAACGTCAAACAGTCCATTTTCTTCAAATAAACACGCTCAAAAAGCGACCGTCGAATCTGCCAGTCTCGATCAAATTTAAGAAGATCGCTGCTGGTAGAAAAACTGCTGAAATATTTAGTGGATGGTTTAAAAATCTCACTTAAAAAGAGAAAAAAAGTTGTGCAATTAAGAAAACACATTCTCAAGCCCTCGGGGTGGCGCAATTAAAAATCAGAAGCTGAGCCGTTTGACACTCTGAGACCTTGAATGGTGAATATTTTCAGAGTCTATAGACTTTCCGACTGTTTGAGTTAAAAGATCACAAAAACACTCGCTTAGGAATGAAAATGACTTTTTATTTCTTTCAAAAAAAAAAAAAAAATAGAGAGAGAGAGAAAACAAGTCCCTAGAATAAACAAATATACTGCTGTAAAATAAAAGCCTGTGATTTTTTTTTGTGTTTTTGTCAACTGTAACATCTGTTTGCCTTTCCATGCTTGATACAATCCATATATTTCTGCTTTAAATAAATAGAAAACATGTACAAAGAAAGAGATGGGGGGGAGGAGACAGAAGAGGAATCAGAGATTAAAAGCTGTACTCTGCTCCGAAAAACATTTGGCATCATTGTGAAACTCATGGCTGATCCTGATGTACGGGGCAGGTCTGCAGCCCTCCAAAGATTTCTGCATCGTCTGTCTGTTCAGCCTGCCCCCACCGAGTAGCAATCATACCTATATACTGCTGTAAGAACGCTAATATCTTTCAAGTTCAGAAAAATAAAGAGTAAATGAAAATAATGCAGATTATGAGTATGTCTTTAAGCTGTGTTGTGAGTGTGAAGGTGTGCATTTCTCTATATACAGTATAGTGAGGCAGCAATCCGAGGGTTCTTACCAAAAAACAGATGTAGAAAAAACAGAACGTGCACAAGAGATCATCGACTCGACACACCGACTCACCGACACAAAATGGGGGGATTTACCCTCGAACAGCCTCTCTCTTTTTGCTCGTCTTCCTTTTCTTGGGGGGATGGCGGCAGGGGGGTTGACTCTGCTGCGACCCACAGGGGACGCCGCAAACCAAGCAACTAATGTGAGATCTCTGGGACAAGTTCAACCGGGTGGTTACAGCGGCCAAACATCTGTCAGTCCAGACAAAGCGGTGAACCTGCCCTTGCGCTCAGATAATCCATCCGCCCCTTCACGCTGTCGGGGCCGTTTAAAGCAGCAACAACAACAGGAGGGAATTTATCATCAGCACCACCGCTGCGACTGTCATATCATGCTTTCTTAAAAAATTCTTTGCAAGGGTGGGAGAGGGACAAGAAACACCGACAACACAACCATGCACTCCCCGAGAAAAGGAGAGAGATGGCTCGCCAGAGAAGAGTCTGCTCACTCAACGCCTCAGCAGACGTTTTAATATGACATCAAGGTTTATCCATGTATCCTCCTCCACTTAGATTCATGCTACAACAATGCAGACAGGCGACAGCAGCTTTTTTTTTTTTTTTTTTTTTTAAAGTTGAAAGAAACTTTGCAACGTGGCCACGAGGTTCCCCAGGACTGATCCCAGCAGGCTAACAGCAGAAAACAGCGGTCGAGCTGGGAAAGTCTCAGCTGTAAATGTGAGAAAGAGTCTGAATTTGAGGGAAGGTGAAGCACTGAATAAGAGCCCCGCATGCTTGGCCACACCTTCTGTGATGAAGCCGTAAAGACTATTGGCAAGTTGCAATGACGCTAAAGGTGGCGAGCCAGCAACGGAAAAACCACCGCGGCCATTTTTTCTGAACCCACTCAATCTTTCGACATCGGAACATTTTAAAACCAGCTGAATAACCTGATCCCAACTGGCAGCAGTAGGTTCCACTCAGAGAAAGTTTAACAAAAAATAACAAAAGAAATGCAAAGACTGCAAAGATCACATTAAAGCAAACAGTTAACCTGATTTCACCTCCACGTCCTGGCTCTCATTTTACCCTCCTTCATTTCAAAGCCTAATGAGACTATTACAAACTTGTTATCAATCATCAGATCTGCAGTTAGACCCCATGTGATTTATTACTTTATCATCCAGGGCTATGATGACCTGATCCTGGATCAGTGCCAAGCAAATAAAGCAGCTTTTATTTGTGAAGTGTCAATTTATCACATAAGATTAGAGACAGTAAGGCAGCTGTCCTAGAATATAAAAACGGTCTCATATTGGTGCCAAAAAAGGACACATCCATTAACAAAATAGTTTTCTTTTTAAAGCCGGGACTCAAAAACACAGGTGGCCCAGAGGAGGGGGAAGTTTTCAAGATGGAGAAGATCCAAAGAGCCCATATTTAGGACACAGGGAGCGTCAGGAACATCCAATCACAGAATTTATCGACTATTTAAGAACTCCAGGTCCAGCTGCTACTGTTCGCGGGCTTAGAGTGCAGCCAAGATATCTGGACGAATCCTGCTGTTGTTCTCTACAGACCTGCGCGCAACCAAAGCTCAAAAGAGATTGGAAAACAGAACTTGTACTACAAGTTGAAACCAGAAAGCTTACGGCAGCAAAGACCTAAACATTCTGCATAGTCGTATTTGTTAGAAGCCGTAGATAAGCTTGAGGTACGTCTCTCCAGCCTGCAAGCAGGCAAACATAAGCACGTTTTTCTTTGACTGTTGTGCGAATTGTTAAAATGTGACGTACAGAAAATGCCAATATGCCACGTCTCGAAAACAGATTTACACCCAGTGGGCAAGCACGAACAAACGACGAAATCCAAGACAGAAACGAAGAATTCACTGGCGTAAAAAAAAACAAAGAAAACAAACAGATTAAGTTTCCTGTGTTCTGCTCGAAGATCACTTGTGGCAGTTACTACGTCGTTGAGATTTAAGAGGTGTGCTCAACCACTGGGTACGAATGACATCCTTCTCTGCGTAGGTTTGCAAAGACATTTCGGTGCCTCTCCGCAGAGCTATAATAAAACTAACAGGGAAGAGAGCTAATATCTCGAGCAACTGTCCCAGTGATCAGTGGACTCACTACTTTCCATAATTTTCCTAAGTGCCCCTGAACAACAGCTGGTTGACTGACAAACCTCCCAGTCACAGCTGACATCTAAGTTCCAACACTTCTTGGACTACATACTTCACTAGTTCTAGAAAAGCACCATTTTAGCTCGTCCACTTGTAACAAAACACCTGGATATTCAAGCGTCTTGTGATTTGCCGTCGAGGTCCAACCGGAGACACTCTGTAGGCTGCTGACATCATGACTGGCAAATATGATTGGAGATGGAGGGAAAAAAGATGAGGACCTCACCTACCAAACACTGCAGAGATGTTAAGGAAAAGCTTGAGAACTACAAAGCCTGAGAGCCGGTGAGAGGTTTAATCTACTGCTAAAAGACTGAGACATCAAGAGAGATAATAGAGCTACAGTTACTGGCGGAGAAGAGGACGGGGTGGGAAAACCTGCTGTGGGAGGTCTTCCACAGGTTTCAGGGGATACTATGAAGAGAGGCTAAGCTAACACAAGACTGCAACAAGAAGCTTCTAGAAGCAGCATCTATCCAACAGCGACAGGGATGAGTGGACAATCTAGACAGAAACTGGTTATTATAGCTATTTTTTTACTTACACATATCTACACATACCAACAGTGACAAACAGGCTAAAGAAGCATCCTAGAGAAAGACCAACTGGACCAGACAGGCTGAAGCGAGATTGTAGAGACTTCACAGCAGAGTGGGCGATGAGTTTGATACTGGACAACCACTGATGGCTGGGATGGAGATACTGGACTGAGATCGGGAATGGTACTAAAAAAGCTTCAAGTTCATTGTTAGAATGGCAGGAGAGTAACCTTGAGTTTCCCGCCAAAGTGGCTGGTAGATTTGACAAACCTATTATGTTGTAAAACCCTAAACTACTTCTACACACTTCAAATCTTCCTCAACTTTTCCATACCGGAAAAGAAACAAAACCCCCAAAAACAACAGCTCTGCTACGGCAGGATAGCCACTTGAGTGCAACATTTTTGCATGTGCATTTTTGCAACAAAATTTGACTTTATAAAAACAAATCAAGCCCATTTTGTGTTAAACTTATCGGATCAAGTCTGGCTTAAAATTTGACCCTCAGAAATAGCCCTCGATGAAGAAAAGAAAATACGTACACATAAATGTGTAAGGATACACGTGGACACACGAGAAGTCGTTATGCATAAATACACCCACAGTCAAACTCATGGGGATGGATGCTTTGGCTGAGCTGAAAAGAGTCAAATTTGATCCCCACAGATTCTTGGAACCACTGAGCGAGGGGGACGCCACAGGTTCAGTGTCGCACTTACAGCCACTCACTTTGATTCAGTGCAATTAAAAGTGAATTCAACTTGATTCAGTAACATTTAACTCACTCTGTGCCACTGTCATCAATCACTGGCACATACTGTGGATCTGCCAAGAAGTTGTACCTAATGAAACAAAGCTCAAATCCTTAAAGACTGGTTGATGAGCTGATGAAGAAGACAGGAAAAACAGATACACACAGATAGATCCAACTGAGGCAGAAAGTCAA